CCATGCCGCTTTCTCCTCTGAATTTATTTGGAGTAATCTAGTATGGTTTAGCTTCACGGGCATTTTGTAGCCACGTATTTTTGATAAGGAGAGGTTTGAAAAGGATTGGTTTTGCAGGAGCATCCAATGGTTTATGCAACTCCAAGGCAGAGCTGTGACAGTCAGTGTGTGTTGCTGTTTTTAGTAGGTGTGTTGGCTATTTTTCTCCTAGATTTGACCCAGGTCAAATTCAGTTACCTGTGCTGCAAACACACCAGGTAAGGCCAATCCCCCAATCATTTCCAAACAAATGTCTGGGCTCTTGTAGTCTCTGGATGGAGTCATGGTTTGTACCATCCCGCTGGTCTTTGGACCTTAGTCTATCTGCTTTCAGGTTTAACTCCATTTGTCCTCTCCCAGCCTCACACTTAATTGTCAGCCACAGTCTGACCCAGAGGGCACAGGACCAGGACAACCTCCTGAGCAGCTTGCATAGGTGCTGGGAGCAGAGCATGGCAGGCAACGTGCAGGTCAGAGGAGGAAGAGGCCTGGACTTCTCCTCCCAGATCTCATCCACCCTTTCCTTTCTCCTCCTCCTGGCCACCTCTTCGCTCTCTGCTTTGCCAGTGCATGTTTTTCTCTTACTCCTTCTTTTTTGCCCGTTCCAGGTCAAGTCTCACCTCTTCTTTTTGGTGCTGTTTCCATGGCTTTTCTCCAGGCTAAACAGTCCCAGTTCCCTTAGCCGCTCCTCATAAGACTTGTTCTCCAGACCCCTCACCAGCCTCGTTGCCCTTCTCCTGGCCACCTCTTCGCTCTCTGCTTTGCCAGTGCATGTTTTTCTCTTACTCCTTCTTTTTTGCCCGTTCCAGGTCAAGTCTCACCTCTTCTTTTTGGTGCTGTTTCCATGGCTTTGAGCTTTGCCATGTTGCTTTGCTCTCCTTTTGGAGCTGGCTGGAGAGAACAGGGTGCTTGTCCTGGCCTGAACCCGGATGGATATGCTGAATGGCATTTCTGCCTCCCCTTGTTGTTTTAAGCCAATCTTGTCCTCAGCGCAGCAGAGGTCTCTGCAGCACAAGCTGGGCCTCTGGTGGGCTGTGATGGCTCACATGTCTCCAAAGACAGTTTGGCCACATGCCTACATCCTTCAGAGCATCAGCCTCACTGGATCACTAATCTATTTGCCCATGAAGCTGTAAAATTTACATAATTGCTCCCCCAGGGCCTGTGATTCACATTGTCCTGTTCTCTGCTGCCTTTCCCATGGCATCCACCACCTCAGGAGAGCACGAGCAGCTCTGGACAGGGCCGAGGCAGAGACATTAACTGTGACTGCAGTGCTTGTGAAAATAGCATCTGTTGTTCCCAGAAGAAGAAAAATCCCTTCACCCAGATGTCCTGGCCCTGTGTTTGAATAGTAACATTAGATGTACAAAGAGAGACACAAATTACTCCGCAGGTTCGTTGTCAAAAGAAGAATGTTCTAAAGCACTCTTGGGGGTGAAAGCTGGCACTGAGACAGAAGCAGCAGTGTTGTACCTTGTGGGAGAAACCAGGCTAGGAGAAAGGAGAATTTCCTTTCTTTTCAATGCCACTTTAGTAGATTGTCTGTGTCCTTCGGTCCCTAAGGCACAGCAAAATAGAGGCTTAGTTGAAGGGCTGACATTTGGGATAGAACGAGAAACTAATCTATTAACGTTACTTAGGCATAGCTGTAGCTAAGCATTGCCTCTGCTGTAAATCTGTCAGTCGTCTCTTGTTGTAGGGAGAATGGGCTAGATCAGACTCACAGCTGACATCCAAAGACATAGTTTGTATTTTATGGTGCAGAAGTGCCCATGGAGGTGGCTGGATTCCAGTCAGACTGCTCTGAAAACTCTTCCCAGCCTCCCTGCGCATCCTCTGTTGTGTGAAGGATCAGAGAGACAGTGACGTCTCACCCTCGCTGCCCCGTTATGTCGTTGGGTTTGCAGCTCCCTGCTGGTTTCTCTGCTATAGTTTGTCTAACAGCATCGTTGGTTCACTCCTCACAGGCCTTTGTCCTGTGCAGGATCGGTCTTCCCTCTCAAACTGAAGCATATTTACCTTGTCGGGCACGCAGCTCTGGAGCTGGGACGTGTTTTCCTAGCCTCGTACAGGTGTTTAAAGCCTTTTCCTTGTATCTCTGCCGCCTGCAGGATAGTTTGTACGGTGCTGCTGAGCACTTTACCTTGTGGCAAATGTGGTTTGGATGTAATCTTTGTTTGTAAGTAAGTTCTTTTTATTTTATTACATCGCTAGTAAGTACATTTTTAGAGTGCATGGGCTTTACTGGGACAAAGGATGCTTGCCTGGGTCCTCAGTTGGGGGGAAACCCTGCGTTTGTATCATCCTGCTGGTTTTTTTAAGCACAGATAGACAAACCTCTCTGTGTGATTCAGGAACTGCAGACTGAAATCTCATGCTGGAGACAACATTTTAATGCTGGATGGGATACATCTAGCCCTGTGCATCAGTTTCTCAAGTATGAAAGACTGGAAACTCATGGAGGAGTTTCAGGAAAGCTAGTTCCCAAAATCCAGCTCTTAGCCTCTGGGTGCATGTGGCTGAGGTCTCAGTGTCTGAAATGCCCCAGGGATCCCTGTGTGTCAGGCATTTACATGTGCTGCGACTGTGACCTTCCTCCTACATGTGGCTGAATGCTGAAGCCTTGGATGGTTGCTCAGACGTGCTCTGGCAGCAGCAGCACCCACCAGCTCTCCTTTTGTATGGGACAAAGCACTTTGCAAGGTAAGGAGGTGTCAGGGCATTGGGAGGAGATGGGAAAAGCCGAGCTGATAACAGGATCAGGATATATGGGATGGTCTTGGAGAGACCTGCTGATCCCATCGGCAAGCAGGACATTGCTGAGCTGTTTTCTTTTTGTTTTGTTTTTCTTTTTAAAAATTTGGGTTGAAGATCCTGGCTAATTTCTAGGCCCTTTCTCCGGCAAGTTTTAATTAAAAAAGAGTAAGTGGCCTGGGTCTCTGACATGATCCCTTATTAAATTCACTCTCACAGACTTGCTTTGATTCAGTCAGAAATACTTAATGAGAACTTACTTGCTTACCTGATGGGAGCTCATTCTGTTAAGGCTGGGTCAATGTTTGAGCCTGGCACAGCCACTGGGGAGGTGGGGTCCCTGTGAAGCCAGCACTAATCCTGTCTGGCATCAGGGCAGCACAGAGGATGCCGTCTGTGCCAGGTCATCGTTAGATGTCTGGGCTGTTACTAACAACGGAGCTGTGGATTACTCTCGCTCTGTAGGATTGCTGGATGAGCCTTGGCTGGTTGTGGGACTTCAGGGGAGAGCCTGTTTCTCCTTTAAGAAACTGGGATTTAAGTAAGTGCCATGAATTTTACACCCTTTAGTCTTACCTTCCCTCAAAATCATGCCTGTTTGCAGTGAGTAAATGTGCTTGGTGCCTGTACTGTAAAGGCTGCAGCAGGGGAGCTGGGCTTTGGACCTCACTGTGCCCCCTTCCCTGGGCACCAGCACCCAGGGCCAGCCTGTGAGAGCTACCACAGTGCTGGCACCGGGTCTGCTGATGCTCTCCTTAAAGCCAGCTGGCTTCTTCAGCTTGCTAAAAGTCTGCAATCTTATTCTCTTCAGTACAAGTAAATTAATTTGATTCATACCCCCAGACAGCTTATATAAACATTCAGGCCAACTTCTCCACCAATAAGAGATTATTTTATTTTTCTTTAAAATCTGGCACTTATGTCATAGTTGAAAATCAAAAAGTGTCCACTAGCTCTTTTGATGTGCTAGGCAGGCTGGTGGGATCTCCCAGTAGCTATTGTAGGGTTGCTCCGTGTATCCAAAGCAAGAACTGGAGGTACTTAAGTGAGAAACTTGCTAAGAAAAATGGTTTGTAGCAGCAAATTTCCTTCCAGAAGAATATGGGCTTCTGCTTATGACGCACCGCAGGCCCCATGGTGGCCCAGCTGCATTGTGCACAGATGAGAATTACAATGGGAATAACAAACAAAGCAGTAACAATAAGCATTAAATTGTGCATTTTCCTTCAGTAGCAGTAGGAGCTCTGCCTCCCTACACAGCCATGTCTTTGGGCCCAATCCTTCAGTGTGGTATTTTGTGGGATGGGACTGCATTGGGTCAGGCACAAGGACTTTGTGGTGCTTGGATGAGCAAGCCCTCAGTCTGGGTGCAGCCATGACCCTTGGCAGCTGTGTTTGCTACCAGGATGCTCCATGGGGATCGAAAGGCAGAGGTGTGCTGGGGATAGCTGGAGCCGATACTGAGGTGTTTTAAAGCAGCCATAGGTGATGGACAGTGCTGCTGGGAAAGGACAAAAGCAACTGCTGCTGCCCCAAAACCAGCAATCCCAAATCGAGTTGTTCTTTTGGGATTCCTGGTCTCAGAGGCTGACAGGACACTAAGGGTCTTGTTGACAGGTTTCCTAGGAAAGGAAAGGGAGCAGGACCTTCCCCAGGACTTTGTGCCATAGCTACGGTGCCTTTCCAAGCTTTCTGCGGGAGTGGTACAGCCACTGAAAGATATTTCACAGATGTATCTGGTTTGGTGTCTGTTCTGTAAAGACTGGCCTCAACCACTTTCTTTACTAACTCTTTCAGCTAAACCCCATCCTGGTTTTCCCTTCAGTGACTGCAGCAGGCACTAAGCGTTGCACACAGTTGCTATCTAGTGGCCAGAGGAAGGTAGTGAATGCATTTTTCTCTACTGGTTTTGTGCTAGGACTGTGCTACTGAGATACAGGCAGGAATCTGTTACATGTATTCATGCAAATTGTCAGGGTTCTTGCTATTTTTCAGTGGGTTAGCTGTCCGAAAATTTTTTTGGTTGATGGTGCAATCACTATAGAGAACTAAATTACTTAAGATATAGTCCATTGCAGTTGTAGGCTGCATAGCTAAGAGACTTTGTAGTAACTAACAGGGGTTTGATGTGCTTGAAATCTACTGGAAAGTAGAGCAGGGACAAGCCACATCATTACAAAGAAAAAAACATGTAACGCAATATACTCAACATTTTATTATAAAACCCTCTAAAGCGCCACTTTATAGGTCACAGTTACAACAAAGGAAATGCCTTGAGTTAGGAAAACAATGGGGACACAGAGACATTGTTTAATGGTTGTCTGGGGAATGTGTGTTGCTTCAGGACTTGTCTACATTTACCATCCCCTGATGGAGATATCCCAGCAGGACCACCGAAGCTGACTGGGCTGTGGTGTGGAAAGCAGAGCTGCTCTCATCCATCGCTGTCTCAGTACCGAGGTGAAATGTCTGGACAACTTCCGGAGGCCGACAGCAGGGTGTATGGTGAGGGCATGGTACTACACATATATTTAGGATGCAGAGAGGGTCTCCTGCCAGCTCATGATGGGGCAAAACAAAAGCTTCATGGTGTCCATGGCCTCCCTGTGCTTTGGAGAGGAAAGTCCCCTGGGTCCTGAACCAGAAGTTTCAGTGGTTTATTTGTATGGTTTTCCTATGTGCAAACATTGCACAGGGACAGGCCTAACAGCTGGGGCCAATGAACTCCTCCTGAGGCCTGGGATTAGCAAATTCCTCCATCTGCATGGCAGCAGAGACTTTAAAAGTAAAAAAAAAACAAACAGGAGTGAGGGCACCTTTCTTGCCTCCAGGATACCCTGACCAAGTGTTTTGTTGCACCCCAGCTCCGCGGCGGTGGTGAGCAAGCCCAGAGCCCCTTGGCAGCACATCCTCACTGCCACCACCAGCTCCAGGTGTCACAGCCCTGTGCACCCCCCCAAGCTGTTGGGCCTTTGTGCGAAGGAGCATCCCTTTAGAGGTGACCTCAGGCCTGTCAAAGGTTTTCAAGGGTTAGGCAGGTACATTTTGCCTGTCTGTGTTTACCTTGGCTCTGTGTGATGCTCATCGGTGTAGCTGCAGGACCCCAGGAACAACCCAGCCAGGGTACTGGTGCTGCTTTAGCTTTGCAAGGTTGAAAAACAGCTGCAGCCCCTGCACAGTCAACCCAGTTACTGAGTCTGGGCTCTAGGGCTGAAGGACCACCAGAGGTGTCTCCAGGCCATCAGACATGACAGCAGGTTACAGGGAGGAGAGGGTGCATGGATTTCTGACACACCTCCCCAACCCCCTTCAAATTTCAATGTCTCTAAGTTTAGCAGTCCCAAATGTCCAACATCTTTCATTAGAAAGCTTGGCCTAGGGCAGAGGGGGTGGGTTTTGTGGGCCACACTGCCAGGGCCCAAAGGCTATATTAAGTAAGTTGTTTATTAATTTTGAAATAAGGGTGACAGCACCAAGACAGCCAGCAGCCCACCAGGGACACAGTGGTGCAACCTCGGCTGCTGGGCCTGGAGGAGAGCCCTGCCCATGTGGTGGGGCCCCTTTCACACAGGGATGTCTTCAGCAGATTGTACAGCTGTGGGGTTAGCTTGGCCTGCCATGGCTCTGTGGGGACCAGAGAGCATCAGCAGAGTGGTGCTCACAGCCAGGGCAGGAGCACAGGGATGGCTTTACCTCCCCTCCCCTTGGAATGCACAAGCCTGGAAGGGTGCATCAGGATCCAGCTTCCCCATCAAACAGATTGAGCAGGCCTGTGCCCTTGATAAATTATTAACAAGCATTCAAATATGATTTTTTTTTTTCTTCAGAACAAACTCCTCAGGTGAAATAGATCAAGATCTTCAAGAAAATTAACCGAATCTGCTTGGCAGATCTTTGCCCAGAGCTCTTGGTGCCACCAGTCTGTAGCACAGCTTACAGCACGAGAAGGTGAACAGGGATCTTTCTCGATATTCTGGCATATGTGCAGCAGGGTGGTAAGAGTAAGCACATGCTGGGATGCATCGGGACACCAATTGAAAATCCCCTGGACAGGCTGCTGTGTGCTTCTCATTCATGTCTCAAGCATCACTCAGGCATGGGTATTGCCCTTGACTGAAGGCTGGATGATCTGCAGCTGAGTGATGACTGGCAGCAAGACAGGTAAATTGCAGTCAACTGAAGTCTTGCCATGACAGGTTGAAAACCACCAGGGTATAAAGAATAGCGGAGGCCCCTTCTGAACCCACTAATGTCACTAATATAGAAACCTTAATAACTCATTGATAAACCTTCAGAGTAGAAATACACAAAACACCCCTATGTACAGTAACATTCTTGTTTACATCAACTGGGTTAGGAATTTGATGCAAGGATTGCCACTGGTTGTTATTGTTTTAGCTATGTGATTGGGACTCATCTGGAAAGAGCAAGATCATTTGGGATAATTTGTATCGGCAGCTGTTGACTCCATTGCTGCATCTGAGCAGTTGGTGCAATGTGGAGGAGGCACTTGGTGTGCGGTTGCATTGCACACCCAACCTCCACCTACAGATGATTGAATCCCCTTGGCCATGCATGGGCAGTTCCAGTCTTTAGTCCATCTCTGAAAAACGTGGTTCTAACTAGCTCCCTTTTTCTCCCATTCCTGCCAAGGAATAAAGGCAAATTAGTCAAAAGGCAAATCTGGCAAGCCACAGTAGCTGTAATGTGCATCGCTATCATCTGGTACCCGAGTGGTTTTGGCCACAGGGTGGGTCATGGATGACTCCCTGTTATAAACAATACACACATTTATTCATTTAAATTGCAGCCAGGGCAAGCCCAGGTGAAAAGACCAGAGGAAAACCAGGCAAGTGGTGCTTGGTCACAGGTGCTTCCCAGACCAAGATGTAAGACCTGCCCCCAGCCCTGTCCCACCACAGCCAGTCTGCTCCACTGCTCAGAGGGAAAAGCAGCAGCTGTCCCAGATGGATTTTTCTCCTGTACCAATTGGTGTATTACCTTAGCTTTCTGTAGGACTGTTCCCTTCCCCGTCACCATGACAGATAAAGGCCGGTTCTTTAAAGCCGTTGCTGAATTGACTGGTGAGTTCTCTGTGCTATTTGCCGGACTGGCACTTTTTGCCTGAATCTACAATAAAAATAATAGAAATTGTGATGACTTTAGACTACTGAGATTGCTGCCTTTCCCCACCATCTCCTAGAAAAGCCCAACAGTCACAGCCCACTTGCATGATGTGTTCTTCAGTGACATGCCAATTTTGAAACACCACCAGGATGTGCATGTGTGTGTGGTGTGTTTGGGTGTTGAGGACTTGAACAGAGGTGCGGAGCAGGGCTCAGGTGGTGACCATCTCTGTGTCGTGGGAACCAAGTTCCCAGGAAAGAATTTGGATGCCTGGATCTCCCCCCCAAACACACCCCTTGACTCAGCTGAGCACAGAAGGAGCTGGGCCCAGGCCTGCATGGCCCTGGAGGGTGTTGCTCAAGGTCCCACAGGGAAATACAGCCGCTCTCCTGAGCCCCAGCCCCCTTTTACCTCCCCATCACTGCTGTTACCGCATTCTATTATTACATTATTGTTTTATGTATATTATAGATAATAATTAACAACTTATAACTTAGAGAATATATAAATTTATAGTTTTTATTTATATAAGATTACATGTTATAATAATATAATATTGTTATTATATAATTAAGCAGGCTGAGACAGTGCGACCGCCTGGCTGCCGGAAAGCTGCTGTGCATCCCAGGGGTGCCCCCCACGTACCCGGGGGGCTGCATTCTCCAGGTGCGTGGTGTCCACAGCAGTGCCCAGCGTCACAGGGCCGGACTCCGCCTTCTTCAGGTTCTCCTTCACCTCCACCAGGCTCAGCTCCAGGTCCACCCTCTGGCTCTCCTTCCTTTTGCACTCTTCTTCTATCTCCTTCAGCCTCTGCTCCAGGATCTTGTCTGCGAAGGGAGGGATTGCTCAGTGCAGGCCGGTTCCTGGGTGGCCAGTGCAGAGCTGGGGTGGACACCAGGCACCGGTGGGAGCTCTGCAAGGCACCTCCTCGGCACGCAGCTCTGGGAGGCTGTAGGGGACTTGGGGAGCTCATGAGGGGAGCAGGGACTGGAGCAAGTATTACTCCTGTACATTTTCCTTATATCTTGCCCCAAAGGGACTGTGACAGAGTGAGCTCTTGCTCTAGCATAATTTCAGCTACGTGGTTTGTCTCAGAGCACCAGGTTCTCCCCACTGCTGGAGGTGCAAAGCCCCTTTTGGTCCCAGGTGGGCTAGGTTCATCACCCTCTCCTTTCCCATGGTCCCACCTTGGCTCATTTCCATGCATCACCTCTTGCCCCACTCTACCTGTGCTGCCTGCAAGCATTTCCTTCAGCTCCCGCCTCTCCTTGCGCAGCTGGGTGAGCTGAGCCCGGATTTCATCCTTCTCCTTCTCCAGCCGCTCCTTCTCCTCTGTAAACCGCTTCACCTCCGCCTCCGTCCTGTTTTTGCCCAGCTTGGTTTCCACTGCTGCTGCTGGAAACACAACCCACCAAGTCAAGCTCAGCCAGGGAAAAAGTGGGAGGGAAAATGTTTTCAGGAGCTTAGAAACAAAATGGATGAGGCATAGGAAGGTCACCAACCAGGAGATGCATCAGGCCCCTTGGGCACCACAAAACTACCATAGAGCAGGGCAAAACTCATGCCTGGAGGCACCACCTCTCCTCAAGCCCCTGCAGCAGTGGGCACACACCAGGCACCCACCTGCACAGCTCACTCACCCGGCAGCGGCAGCTTGGGCCGGTGTGCGGGCACCAGCTGGGGACTGCCCGCCGTCACTGTGCCCACTGGCAGCTCGGGGGCCGGCTGGGGGAAGGCGATGTTCTGCTGCTGTGTCTGGATTTTGATGGCGGGCATCTGTGGTGGCACCTCGTCGGGCTCTGGCTTCTCTGGGTGTTTCTGGGGGGGGAAATGAAGTGAGATGATGTGGTGGGGGGAACTGGCTCGCTGAGTAAGCCTGGCCCCACACCACAGTTCAGGACAGTACCTGCTCCAAGGTCTCCATTGCCTTACTACAGGGCTCGGCTTCCTTAGTCACAAGGGCTGTCTCGGTTGTGGTCTCTGCTGCAGCCTTGTTGGCAGCCCTTTCTAAAGACGGTGAGCTGAGGGGTGAAGGCTGGCATGACTTCTTGCTAGCACAGTGTAGGAAAGACTTCACTGGGGTGAGGTCCAGGTACACTCTGTCTTGGTCTCCCTCCAATTTGCTCTCACTCTTGGGTACTTCTTCCTGCAAAAGGAGAATGTTCCCCTGAAAAGGGACCACCTGCTGCAGCCAGAAGTACAGGAAACATCTCACTGCAGAGCAGCAGCATCTCAGGCAACCCAGAGTATTTTCCATAAACCTTAGAGGAACTAAATCCCCATTCTTTAAGTCATTACACGCAGGGCTTTTTGGTGTACTGAAGGAAAGGCCCCTCCTGCTCTCCTTCAATAGGTCTTTCCAATGATAGCAGCAGCCCCATGCAAGGATGTCACACGGTTGTACATCTAGTGACCCCTGCCAGATTATTTGCCTTTCCAGGATACAGTCCCATTCCCAGCATGGCCCATCTTTCTTATCCTTACACACAGGACTCGATCTCACAGGCATCAAAAGGAATTTTGATGGACGAGGCTCCAAACAATCCACCATCTATCACCAAATAATCCATGCTGTTTACTGATGGAAATTGTGGGATTTTATCCCATCTGCCTGAGGATCCCTACAGCACCTTGCTGGAATCCTCTCTCCCATTCCTTAGCAACTACTCTCCAGCACCCACTTCTGCCCCATTGCAAAAGCCTGGATTTCCCCAGGGGCTGGGAATCCCCTTTGCCACAGTCTGAAAACCCTCCCCCTTCACTGCTGGAGACTTCCCCTGGCCAGATGTTTGCCCATGGTCTCCCCAGAGCTTGCTGCAGCAGGGTGGCTGCCTGCAGCACCGGGCATCTTACCGCAGACAGGTCTGGCAGATCCACGTCGTCGTACAGCTCCTCCTGCTGCATCCTGCCCTTTGGCAGGTTGTCGATATAGGCGTTGGGCTCAGAGTACTTCCTCTGCATTAAGCTGTGAATAGGCAGCGGGACATCCCATCAGGAGGGATCGGTCTCGCTGCACAGCCGCACTGTGCTGCACTTTGGGGCATCTGAACACAGCAGTCCTGGAGTCTGGGCAGGGCCACATGGCCAGACGCAGGAGATGAGAAGGTAGAGCTGTGCAGCAATGTCATCACTGTTCCCATTCCCCAGTAAGCAGCACCCACCAGAGTAGGGCTACATTTCTCTCAGCTCTTTCCTTTCTTGCCCAGCCCTTGGCCACAGCACAGCAGCAGCACAGCAGCAGCACAACCGCCCTGCCCCAGTGGCACGGTGAACCGCGTGGCTGGGTGCCCACAGCCCTGCACCCCCCAGCCAAGCCCACCCCACCAACCTGCCTTTGCAAAAGCCACCTGGGCATGAGCTGCAAGCTGCAGCTCAGGTTAGATGCGTCATGGTGGGACAATGACAAGTGCTCTTCTGTCCCGCACTGAGCTTCCAAAGAAAGCAACTGAGCTGTAGCCGTGAATTTACCACCTATTCCCATGGCAGCCAACCTCCCGCAAGTGGAGGGACCCCCGCTCCAGATTGCTTCCCCCCTCCACCAGTCCGTGTGGCCCCATGCGTTACCGCTGACGTACAAGAACGAGTTCTTTGCAGCGCTCACAATGCAGGAAACCCGGTCAGCATCCACATAATCGTAGGTAAATTCCTCCGGGTCTGTTTTCGAACCTGACTCCGACAAGAGGAGGCCCAGCCAGTGGCCCATTTCTTCTGAGGACTTCGCCTACGAGGTGATCAGACAGATAGTACAGGTTGCAAGAGCAGTTTCTCTGCACTCCCAAGACTAATGCAGGCTTAGCCTTGTGTAGGGAAGTACGCTGGCAGTCCTCTAGGCTTGCAAGGGGAAAGATGAATGGCCAGGTATTTATATTAAACCTGAGACCGCATTAAAATAAGAAGGAAGTACCGCTCTGTGTATGGACTGATTTGCAAATTTGGAAGATATATCAATGCAGCTTTTTGCTTAACTCCTTCCTAAAATTTCTAGTCAGGCTGCATTTTCCTTTCAATGGTGATCAGCTCAGCTGCCTACAAGAGTAAGAGAAGTCTCTGGGGCTCGAGATGCTGGCGGGGAGCTGGCTTTGGCAAGGAAAGTGTGCAGGTTTTATTTTGCACCAGCAGAGCGCAGCAATGGGATTGCCAAACACAGACGTGCAAGGAGACCCGAGCACACCAGGGAGCCTGCAAGTTCCTTATGCCAGACCCCAAACCCCTTCCAGGGCTATTTGCACAGGGAAGGAGGGGAAGGGGGGAGTTTAAAGTGGGATCAGAGAACATCAAAGAGAACCCCTCGCTTTAACATGTCAGTACCAAATTCCCAGCTGCAGTGAACAGTCTGACATTTTGCAAAATGAAGAGTTAAATATGGTGCCTTGAAGTCAGCTCTAGCAAATAGCTACATGCACTTCCCAGTAGTGGGGGATTTCTACCTGAAGCAAGAAGTGGGCTGATGCAGCCATCTTTTCCTTTGATTTGAGGAGTTAGAGCAGTAAGCACGAAGTAAAATTCAGGGCAAGTGAATCCCACACTGGAAAGTATATTTTAAGCTTTCAATCTGTTTTATTTAGCAGAGACTTCAGTCCCTGGGAAGCCCGCCAGCCAGCCAGCCTGTACATTGAGTCTGACATCCCAACAAAATACAGATTCTTCCATTCACAAAATGTAAATTTTCCCAGCACCTCTTCTTCACATCTGTAATTAGGCAAAATTTCTTAGACACAGACATAGCCTGAACCAGAAGCTAAACAAAAACACCTTCAAACTTCATGGCAGGCCCTCCAAGTCAGTTGTTTAGCTATAAATATTCCACCCACTGGAAAAATACAGGAAATTGCTCACATTGTCCACCTCCTATTATAATCACGCTGTCGTCAGAGAGAACTAAGATTAGAGATAAACAGTCCTGGATGCAGGCAAAGGAAAGTAACAGATGGAGATGAATTCACTTGCGCTTTCAGGGGCAGATCTGTCATCTGTTTATTTGGGATGCATGACCCATGGCTTTGGGACTCTGTTTTCAGAAGATGAAGTTCTTTGTTCCTCCTAACTACAGACTTAAATCCCTAAAGTGGCATTCCTCTCATCTAACATTAACCACCTGAAATGCATCCCTTATAACTTAATCATCCAAAGTTATCCTACAGTCAGTGGAGAGAGATGGGCACCTCCAGAGGACCCTTCATCCCACCCTAAGATGAGTGCCTAAGAGGAAGGCTGAATGGTCCTCTGGAGGCGCCAGCATCAGACACAGCCTGGGTTACCAGCTAGGTGGGACACCTTCTACGTGACCACAGACAGATGAACCAAAGTCCCACACTTCAAGTTCTGTTTTGCTGGACTGAGGGTCCCTCTGGAGGACCTCACCAGCATTTAGGCCTACTAAGACACCCAAGCTGATGACTTAAAGCAGAGCTTTCTTGGAGATATACACTACCTCCAGAATGACCCGTTCTTCCCCGTTGTGCAGGATGCGGAAGGAGTAGAGATGATCAGGGCTTGGCTCTGGGATAATTTCACAACCTGCCAAACTCAGGGGCTGCTGAGCCAGTTTGCTTCGGTTCTTGTCCTGGTAGAAATGGAGGTGACCGTCTTTTATCTGACACCAACGGGACTTCCACTGGCTGTTCACGAGCATATTCAGGTAACCTGCAAGCAAGCACAGGTTACTTAGGCACATTTTCCACCCCATGGGGAGAGGGAATCCAAACTCATTTGTGTGCATGGGGATGTTTGATATCAGGGTAAGTTCCAAGATCACACACAACACAGCCACAGGCAACAACAAAGACCAAAAGCACAAAGACAAGCTGTCCTATCCATACAAAACAGGGTGAAAAGGGGAAAAAATCTGTTCCAAATGAGACGCTTGAAATTAGGTTAGGTTTGGAGCAGCAAGTTGGCTGCAGATAGTGGGACAAAGTTGGTCCCAGATGGTGAATACCAGCTGACCCACACAGCTCTCTCCCTGCTGACTCCCACACCCTGGGCTGGTGCCCAGGAAAAGCAGCACAGATGCCCTCTGTGTATATGTCTGGTATTACCTGCCCTTCCTCTTGGGTCACCCTGCGAGCTATTGCCAGCACTTGTAAGCCACACAGTCACCTTAATGTGTAAGAGGCACCACAATCTACATGGATTTACTGGCACGGACCAAGCAGACCGTGGCCTCTTTGCCTCCCCCAGGAGGACAGCCTGGCACATGCGTGTTTGAGGAGGATGATGCCTGGTGCTCATACTGCCCTGCACACCGAGATCCAGCCCTGAGACAAGTCCCTGCAGAGGGGCTCATGCTGCCACTTACTTGAAGTCTCCAGGGATCTCTCTGGGCTGTCCAGGGAGCTGGATTTTTTCCTCCCGAGGTTCATCAGGTTGCTCAGTTTCAGGCCAGTTGTGCCCTTCTTCTTAACTACCAGAAAAGAAAAAGAAAAAGATATATGCGTGGCTTTCCCAACTCACAGCCATACACACAGCCTGCTGTCCCAGCTGGGTGTCCTGCCCCAACGCTGCCTGCACTGCCGTCCTGCACCCAACAGCGCTGCAGCACACACATCCCTTGCAGAGGGCAAACCTTTGACTCGGGGACAGGCTGTAATAGTCCAAAGCCCAGGGAGATGATGAGCAAGATGGCACCGGTAATCTCAGTTAAGTGATTTGCTGAAGATACTTAATCTATATTGCTTTAAACTTGGGTTAGTTCTGACCAAACGCCAGTCGCTGCAGGAGCTGTGGGAAGGCTGTTTGCACAGGTCTTGCTGTGTGGGTGCCAACCTCCCTTCAATTTCTTACACTACAAAGAATTGAATTAGAAACCATTACCCATAAATATTTACTGCATTCAAGTCTTTTCCTTTCTAAAAGAGGGACTCAAGGTGGGGAGGGGGGAAAGGTTATGCGCAAAGAGCCTCTTCAGCATTTTCCTACCGAGCACATGAGTCAGTGCGTGAATATGGCTGTGTAATCATCAGGTAACCCTGGTAAGAAATCAAGTTGGATGTTTTTAGTCCAGATTTTCCTTCCTGTTATCATAACAAAATGATGAAGTCCTAGTGTAGAGGGACTCAGCAGCCAAGTTCCGTCTGTTGGGTGACTCCAGTGAGTCCTCAGCATGGATTTCTCTTTCTCTCTCTCCGATATATAGATGGGTCCCACCATCCTTCTAATAGAGCATCTCCTCTTTTAATGTACTTATCTGCCCCATCTTATAGATGGGGAATGCAGCTTAAAGCCCAGAGTCGGATGCCCTAGTGTGAAGGTATAACTCCTATTAGAGACAGCTCAGCATTTCACACAGGTACTCCAAGTTTCTCTGCAGACATCTCTGAGGAAAGTCACTTAGGTTGCATTTGTGCCATCTCAAACTGTCCCAGAGTGACTTGCCCAGAGTCACACAGGATCTCTGTGGTGGGACAGGTATCACACCCAGGTTTCTCAAGCCCTATCCTAACTCTGTAACTGCTGAGAAATCCCAATGTCCACCTGTCACTTCATTATGGAAAAAAGCACTGAAATGAAATTCACAGGCAGTGAATTCACACGCAGCTTTCACCCTGCATCAGGTCAGTTTGAGGTGGCGGTGGCAGGAGAAGCTACAGAAACCCTCGCCACATGCAGGGTTGATGGCCCGGTTTCCCTGTTGTTCCCAGGATGAGGTTTTACCATCTTTTGTCTCAGCTGTCTCTGGGTGGCCGTCTGTGCTGCTCCCACTCTCGGAGGCTGCAGAATACCTCTCAGATACCTCCACCTGTCAACAAGCACCGGACACAAGCTCCACAGATGCACGTGACCCATTCCTCCAGCCAGAACCCACCGCAAGTGCCTTTTTCCCCCCCTCCTAAATTATGAGGTCCCACCCTCTCCGTAGCAGATACTTTCACACAGACATCACCCACCCGCCCACTCACGCTGTGCCCTCCCCATTATTTCTGAGCCCAGCATGGGCAGATCCAGCACATGAACTGCCCTAGTTGGTCTCGCCTCCGAGGTGACACAGTGGCACCACTAGTGCCACCCCATGGTCTCCTGCCCTGCAGCCCGGCTGGTGGGGGCATCTGCCAGTCCCCGTAGGAGGGCATGGGCAGAGGAACTGGCCAGGTGCCCAAACAGATCCATTTTGGGTGTCCACCAGAGATATATGAAGGTTTCTTTCTCCTCCCACTGTTTTGGAACAAGCTGCCCCCAGGGCAGTGTCACCTAAACCTGGACTAGAGACTGGCCCAAGCCTTGGCATCCAAGGGTCTATGTCCCTTCCAAAGCTCTTGGTGAGCACAACTGTCCCATTGGATGAGATAGTGGCTGCTGCCCTGTATGGAGGGGAGCCCAATGCTGAGCCAGTTTTGGGGGAAAGATGTGGCAACAAAATTAAGATTGCAAAGGAAAATTAAGATTGTTCCAATAATGCTCCTTTTCAGCAGAACAGGGGTCTGGTTACATTCATATCAGTCTTTGCTCAGATAAAATTATTGCACCTACAACTATTATTTATTAAAGGAACAGGGTGTAAAAGCCTAAGTGCTAGTTCTCTCTGTAGAGACAAGGTGTACCTTTGGGCAACTGAGACGCTGTGAATCTGGCATGTACTGGTTGCCTTCACTGCCTCCTTCACACAGCAGACCGCTGGTCTCTTGGATTACCTGTGCAGAAGGGGAAGCCATAGCCTGTGAGAGCACTGCAGTAACAGGATCAATACTTCTCCCCCACCCAGGACAGGCAAAACCACAGCAGCCTGGGAGACCCACAGTTTACACTCCCTGTGACCCTGGGGACTTTCCTGGTGTTGCAGCAAGCAGCCAGCAGAAACTGCTGGATCCGAGTCAGCCGGGGAGAGGCTGCCAGCAAAGGCAGCCCCGGCGCCTCGCAGCCCGGGCTCCATGGAGGCTCCTTCTTCTGCTGCCGTCTCAAGGAAAGGGCCACATCTCCCCCTGTCCTCAGCCAATTCATGGTGGGCACCCACCCCAGACAACCTTCCTGCCGCAACAGCTGGACTGGGAGGTCCCTCTGCGGCCTCCCATGCGCAGAAGGTGGCAGGGAGCTGCACAAAGAAGCTATCCCAGGACATGAAAATGAAGTAGTATATTTGTATACGGACTTGCAGTGAGGACGGGAGCCAGAGCACACAAGGGCAGGACTGGGACTAGACACGGTCTCCCAGCAAAGCCAGGGTAGAAGCACGGGAGCACCAGCAGGGCAAGCCCCGAAGGCTCCACTGACCCTGAGCCACTGTTCTGCCTGGTCTTTACTCTGCAGCCCCAGCACGATGACATCTGCGTTCATGGGGATGATCTTCAGCTTGTGCTCTTTCTTCCTCACTTGCTTTTCCTTGTGAATGACAGTGCAGCCCAGCAAATTCACGTCAAGCTGAGGGCTGTGGTCTTTGGAGCTCTTGTAGCACTGGGGAAGGAAGATGAGAGGGCAGGTAAGAGGCTGAGGATGAGCCTTCTCTCTTGCTCACTGGCGTGAACTCAACCCTAGAAGTGGCTCAGTACAACCACACACATTAAGTGCACTGAACACAAGAAGGTCCTACAGGTCCTACAAGGCTGCGATGTCTACACAGACTACACACAGGACATCTCTGTATGTACAGAGATACACATACATCTATGTACATACATATATAGTCTGAAATACCTCTCACAGATAATGCTAGAGGGTCATGTATGTGGTTAGCCAGTGGGATAAGCCTCCCTTCTGCTTAACCACCTCAAAAAGTTTCCCCAAAAAGCATCTCTAGGCAGTCTGGGAGTTTGAGATTTTGGCCACAAATGTGCCCTTGTGCCCTCCTCAGCAGCCCCGTGCCCACATCCCTTCTGAAAATTGAATGAGATCTCCAAATCTCTGGGACGTGGTTTTTGAAGCATTGCTTCTAGAGGTACTTTGTTTTTGCCAGCTAGTTAACATGGCCTGAGGTGCCACTTCCCTCCCCAGCTCATGAAAATAGGTTGTTTTAGGCAGAGAGTGGAGGATCTACCCACCAGCAACCTGGTGTCCTTGATAACACACAGCTGTTTTGCCCACTGTCCCAGCCACTTCTTTCTCCACAGGAACGCACAGATGCGGGTGTCCTTCATCAGCTCAATGGTGGCCTCCGTGGATGGCCACTGATGGGTTGCTGACTTGCCTTTGCTGCTCTCTTCTTCGTCATAAGATTCATAGGAGCTACTAACGGCTTCACCATCTTCTATAACAAAAGCAAAGCTCTATCATTAAATACACTTCTAGGACAACTCTGAGCCTATTGCTTGCCTCAGCCATGCTCACACATGCAAAAGCTTCCAGCATAGGGATGTGTCTTTTGAGGCTCTCCTACAGGAGGATAATCAATAGCAAAATAACCCTCATAGATCCTTTTTTCTTTCTAGCCAAATATTAATCTCATTGCAATCTTTTGTGCCTAATAGTCTCAGTTAGCAAGCACTCAAAAGACACTTCTCACTTGACCACAAATTCGAGAACATTCCCTTAGACATTTTCTGATGTTTGCTGCTTTTTTTCCCTCCTGAAGATGCTTTTTGTACTTTCCACTTCAAGCCAAACACTCACAATTTTTATGGCAACAGCAAGCCACAATCAGCCCTTGCCCTCTGAATGTCAGAAGTAAAAATGGTATTTGCGAGGCCATGCAGCAAGCGATGATCTATTGTATTTGAGACATCATTCCACTTTCCCTTTCTGGGCTAACAGGTCTCTCTCTCTACTCAGCATCTAAGGGACAGCAAGGGGCTTTGAAGTAATACACTGTTGCAGCAGCAGCAGCAAAAATTAGTCATGTGGCAGCTGTAAATAATAGTAAACACATTTTTCATGCTCATTCTTAAATGGATTGCTACGTTATTAGAATGAATTAGGATTTTCAATACCCAGCTCTAATGTATTGTAGGTTATTGGAGTTTTCAGCTGATCAGAACAGCTGGTCATTGGTACCAGACTCATCAGAAACAATGAAAATGTTCCCACTGACTGCAGGGGAATTTGCAGTGCTCTGCTGGCATTTACAGTATGGTTCTTATTCGCAAGGTAAGCTCACAAAGCAAGATGGTAAGATTTGGGCAGCATCTGTGTAGGGTTTTGCATTCTTGTCCTACCAAACAGCACGGAGGAATATTATTAAGTTTCTCTCACCAGAATTTAATCTAATTTTGATCCTCATCAAATCTTAATATCCACATAAAAGTAACATTATCAGATTGGTGCAAATAAAAAGAGGAAAAGCAGCCAGAAAAGAAAAAAAAAGCATTAGGAGCTTCACTGAAGAACATTTCTTAAGTTGGGCTTGTTTGTTCTTAAAATAAAAGGAACTGAGATGCAGTAACAAAGCTACAGCCTTCTCCCCAGTGAAATCTCACTCTGTAACATCCCTCAAGTGATCAAAGCTGCAGCAATTAAACAAACTTATTAAAAAGCAAATACTCCCTTTCAAAGTCTCTGAATGGTGCTGACAGCACACTACTGGCTCACCATCTCCATGCCCTCAACGTATGGGACTGTCCATCTTTTATGGGAAAACATTACTGCCCAATGCATTATCACTATGCAGACCTTGTCCCCAGGCACCTGGGCAGAAATTCAGATGGAGTAAAAGCGTTGAGGTTTCTCATCCCTAGAAATACCAAGAAGCTGAACTTCTGCACTGCTAGGGACCCTTCCTTATGCAGCAGCAGCAGCAGCAAGGATGCTTAAGAGAACCTCATCTTCTAAATCTCCCTCCTTATCAACATGGGGCTATCGCTAACTGCCCCTCTGGCCCCTTTTGGGTGTCTCTGGTGCCCCTCGCCCAGGCATTAGGTCTCAGGCTGCCACCTTTCTCCTGGGGTAGTAACACTTTTCTTCCATGCTCTCAGCGGGAGCCCTGGCTGCTCTTTTGTGCATCAACCACAAGTGCCTCATGAGATGAGCTCTTCTTTACTTGAAGAGCTGCAGCCATTGCTGGCCTGGTGACGCTGCTACAGCCTCATGATGGAAAGGCATTTTCCAGTTGCGTAGTTGGCAAACTGGGACAAACCTTGCTTGGGTGACTTGAGACAACACTGTCATCACTACTAAGGCTCACTCAATCCCAAGTCATACAGCTCAGGCACTTCAGTACAAGGCCTCCATTTCCACCTACTGGCAGTTTCAACTAAGACCACAGTTTTATCCTCTCATTGCCATGACATCGGTGGCAGCCATGTTCTTGGATGTCTTTACCTAATCCACCTCTGCTTTCCTGTTTGTCTTCCCACGACCTCCCAGGGAGCTAAATCAATACCATGACGCAGGAAGCTCCAACCATCTCATACACCAGAGCTGCCTCTGCCCGAGCAGAGCACCTTCAACATTCGCTGAACAGCTACTTGCCAATACAGCTAGTGTTACCACATATCAGCTCCACATCAGTGGCCAGAACCAGGGAAATAAAGGCTGGGGAAGTTCTCTTCATTGTCATCTTGAGCATGGGGAAAGGCATACAAAAATGCCGCCTTGTGTATATCCAGCATGGGCAGAGAGAGAGGAGAGTTGGTTACCCTCCATGCATGTAATGGGCAATACCAGGGGGAAGCACCTGATCATCTTTACTAAAACTGAGCTTTTGCTTTTTTTTTTTTTTTTTTTTAAAAAAAAGCACTTCAGGTTTGGAAAGCATGCCATACCCATCGTTATTGTGGCATAAATAACTCCCTCAGTAACCTGCAACCCTGGCCTGGGTTCAGCCGCAGCAAGCCTACCAAAAAGACCTGCACAGTCAAAAGGAAAGAGAAAGGGAGACAAAGAGAGAAAGCCACAGATAAGCAAATGCGAAGAACAAGGGCGTCAGTCTGGCTCAGCCCCACGCTCCCCCCCTTGTCTGGTGAGGCTGCCCCGTCCCCGCTGCCAGTGGAGGAGCACACCATACACTGAGACTTCAAACAGGGACAACATTTTCAACCCGTCCCCTCAAACAAGGCAATTCCCTTTAAAGCAGAATCGTCGTCATTGTAATTAAAATCAGCCAGGGCAGATGAGCTGTTTCAGCTGAAATAATTATTGCTCAGTTGGCAGTCGCATTGCCCCTTGCGTTTTCACTCTGTTTCTTATCGCACCCTTCAATTATGCAAACACAGCCTAGGACGAGGACGATAACAGTTTAACACATTTCAGCCCAGGAGGAAAGGGAAGCAGCAGCATTTGCCAGAGCTGTAAAATGAAAGGCAGAGGTGTCCCCAGCTGAGAGGTGGGAATCCTGCCGATGAAAGAGGGACCCCGAGACCCAGTGGTCTCGACCACCTGCTTAATTTTAATTAATTCACCCACAGTTTGTTACAGTGCCTCGCAGTCCTACCTCTGATGCTGCACGAATCCTCTAGCTCCTCAGCCCATCTGGAGGCTTGCTTTGATGTCCTTTCTTGGCAGTGCACCCACTAATTTTAGTGATGTTCCTATTTTTGTTTGATTTCACTACGCCCATTTGTTTGGAGACGCATGGGTGTCTTCCCAGACTTGTGCTGTAATTCTGTCAGAAACACCACCAGCAGCTCCCTGGACCGCCTGCACCTTCCCTACCCAGCTTGTGGGGAGAGGGGGGTGAGCACAAAGGGCTTGGAGGGTTACTGGGGTCAGGCTTTAGCATCTTTGACCAAGGCAAACCCACACATGTCCAGACTGCTCTTCAGCAACAGCAGTCACACCAAGGTCTCAAGGCAGTTGCTAGCAATGAGCATCACTCTACGTAGGACAGGTACAGGGTACTATTACCATCTGATAAGGTGAGAGGGGAAAAAAGAGATGGGGAGCCCAGTTTTGTACTCATTGAACCACTGGGCAGGACCGAGACCTGCAGGTTTGCCCCATGTGCCATGGGATTTAGAGCTTGATCTCTTGAGGCAAACCAGGGCACCAGCAGCTTCCCAGCACTGCTGCCTGATCTACCCTGTGCATGGCATGCCATGCTTCACCCTCTCCTGAGCCCCCCACAGCCTCCTCGTGCCACATACCTGCTGCTCCACATCTCTCCCTGCTCCTCCTCCCTGCTCACCCCAAAGCACCACCTCAAACATGAAGTTGCCAAAAAGCACAGATTCTCAGTGACACGATGCTGCCTTCCTTCTCACGCAAACCACCTTAAAAGCCATTAGCATTATAGCACATCAGGTGGTTTGTGTAGAAGAAGGGGCCTGCTGGGGCCCGCAGAGGGGACCGGCAGTTGAGCAGTCACAGGAGGCAAAGGCACCACACACCTTGGTGGCGAGGGACTGCTTAGGCTTGCCCGTCCCATCTTTGCTCACTTCATGGGCTCCCATCTCCGCTTAATGGCTGCGATAGTGTAAAGCACCGAGCCCGCTGGTCAAACAGCTATTCATAGCAGCCACAGACTGCCCCATTTTGACAGTGCTCCCATCATACGGGGTTTTTGTCTCTTTTTTCGACCATGCTTGCAGGGCTCTGATCTCTTGCTTCCTTAGGCATCTGACCGGCCTGGATTTCAGCGGATGGTGGGTGCATTTGCACCTTTGAGCAGCAGGTTACCAAGGAAAAGCAGAGGTTTAAGCTGGGTGTCTGCTTATGACTCCTGCCAGCCAAGGCTCTGAATGCAACACAAGTTTATGGAGCTGCCTGGATTTCCCAGCACACGGATCCATGGCCAAGCTCCAGCTAATCCAGTGTATGTCTTTACATGCCATGGCTTTTAGCGCGTTATCCTCTTTCCCAACGTGCAGCAGGGAAAAAAAAAAAAGTCCATTTATCTTACAGTGCAGGCAACTGGAAACCCCCTGGGGGGACAAGGCTGCAGCGGCTGCAGGAGGGCTTCACTCCCCTGCACCCCACTTGTCACAGCCCTGCCCTCAGCTAAACAACCCAGAGCATTTTGGCAAAACCAAACTGGCACCTAACTACACATGGCAGAGCTGGGGGGACCTCTCTGCACCAAATGGCACGTTTCACCCCAGCCATGATGAGCCTGCACCTTTTCCCACCCAAGCTGGGCGCGATCTTCCCATTCACCACTGTAATGAAGTTGCAGTCAAAACGGGATGGTTCAGAGAAACAGAAATCTTTCTACATCTCCCTTTTTTATTTTATTTAGCACTGTAACTCCTAAGCCTTTGTGAGAACAGCAACCCACGCTGAGCTATGAGCTGTCCGGGTGCGTAAGGTGCAGACACGCAGCGAGGGCTGTTCAAATACACCAACCCCCAGCCACTTCAAGTAGTGGCACCACAGGTGCTTCCCTGCCAGGGAGTTTCAAAGCCCAGTGGTGCTCACTGGGACTGGAGAGGACTCAGCTTCTCTCAAGAACAGCTCAGATTCAACAGCCAAGGGTTTAGATCCAAGTCTTTTACCCTTAATTCTCACTTCTCTGCTTGCCTCGACTCTCCCCGCTCAGCTCTGCCCCACGCCACATACGTCATTGCACCCCACTCTGCTGCAGTCGAGTCTGATGAGCAGAGATCTGCTTCTGCAGCAGACCGATATAATCTCTCTCACTTGGACTTAAATGGATTATAAAGCAATGACAAGATCAGCTCTGCTGTCAGATCAGAGGAAGGTAATCTCTCATGAAGGGTGTTCACCTTCATCTTAAAAAGTCAGAATCTGGGAGCTCAGCCTGCGTGCAGCAGTCTCCTCCCGAAGGGGTGCGGAGCCTATGGGTGACAGGTATCAGTGGCACTGCTGAGGACACTGCTGGGAGGTGCTGACCCAGGCAGCGAGCGAGTGTGCACAGAGGGAACCCACACACTGTCCCCTCACATGAAGTGTGGCTTTTTAATCAAGTTCACAGATGGCTAAACTGCCACAAGAGACATAACTGAATAAATAGCCAATTATAAAAATGGTTATCACATCTAACAGACCAACAGTCGTGGATTTTGAGCCCCAAAGGGACAATTAGAGCACAAGGACATGAATGCAAGCCACCGCAGCTTCACCACTCACTCCTTAACAGAAACCTGGGTTTGACTACAGCCTATTTTCCAGAAAACCATCAAGACAAAGAGAACCCACAATGGTTTATAATATTTTACAGTGATGTTATATTAACCCAGGCGTACAACTTATTTCTACAGGAAAGTTAAAAATTTCAGTAATTCAGTAGCCTTTTCTTTCCAACTAGCATTAGATTTGTAATCTAGCATCAGAAAACAAATTTATCACACAAGCTGTTAAGAAATGTCTGCGCTTTCGTTTAGTCGTTCTCATAAACCTCAAGTCCTCCATCTCCCACATGAAACCCCCCAGAGAGTCAGCTGTGATATACCATTTACAGAGACATCATATGGCTCAGCCTCTTCATAATATCCCTCTGGGGATTCGATCTTGGGGACGGGAGGTTGTTTTGTTTCGGGAATCTGCAGAATAAATAAATAAAAGCAGCATGATTTAAGGTAAAAACAGATACTTGAAAACAATGGGGCATCCTTTTTATTTGTACTAAAGTGCATCCTAGTGGATGAGACCTTTTAGATGTGTATACCAGGGTTTTCATGTAAACTGGTTGAGATGACAGGGAAGAAAGAGACTGCTGAGGGTTTCCAGTGTACAGTTAGCTCAACTATAAAGGAGTTCTTTGAAATTACTGTGTAATTGTGTCATTAATATTATTTTCTTTAATTTTGCTGAAAGCCCTGGGAAGATCAACTCGTGCACTTCCTCAAAAGCAGCAATTCCAACCCATTGGTCTTATTGTGAACTGGGACTTCTGCCTGCTGCACCGACACCCCCCCACCCCCCCCCCACCCCCCCCCCAAGCTGCTCATTGTAACTGGGGGTGATCCTCTATGCTATTGATTATTTTAACAGGGAACCAGAAGAGCAGACATTTGGTGTAATCCTGGCTTTACACTGAAAAGCATAGCCTGAGCGGTCGCTGGTCATGCCTCCAAGTCTCTGACTGATAGCAAACCAACAGCTAAAAATCTCTGCTTTAGGAACTATATCAGGAATCTTTAATTGTGCTCTGAGCAAAAAATGAAGGAAATGGATAAACAACACTGATGGAAAATAAGCCTTTGAAAACAGTCCAAGTGTTGGAAAATCCCTGTGGTGCCTGCCAAACCCCTCCCTAAACACAAGCAAGGGCTGGCAGGAAAAACAGTGCCTTGATCCTTTAAAAATACCAACACATGAGAGAGGGGGGAAAAAAAAAAAAAAAAAAAAGAGAAGCTAAGAAACAAACTTTTTACTTTTCAAGTAATTCACATGGCTGTTGAACGTGAGACAGTGGAGCCGGAGATCACAATAGGATAAGCACACAGCTTACGCTCTTCCCAAAATATGTGGCATCCCATCTCCCATCATGACCTGACATTAGTGTCCCCCACTCCCCAAGTGAGGTGTCCCCCCTCCTCACCCAGGTCAAACCAGCCCCGGTCATCTGACAATGGTATGCTCTGGCTCACACTGCTTCAACTAGCTTCTGACTGAGACCTGTACAAATCCTGGATAGGATGTTCAGCACGTGCAGGGCTAAAGCCCCACTCTTCCCAGGAGGACAGGCAGAAGAGCAGGTCTCTCTCTGCAGAGGCAGCAATGTTGAAGGTCATGGATCATGCATGGTCCTTCATGCCAGCCCACGATTGCTCCTGGTGGCCTGGAGAAGGGGGGCCAGCTGGGCACCAGCACCGCAGAGCCGTCTAAGGCAGGACCAGTCCCTTTTGCAGGTCATGCCAGCATCATCAAATGCAGGTTCAAAGCTGTCCATGCTACCCTGGATATTTCCACCAATAGGTACTGCTGCACAGAAGTAGAAAGTAAGCTTTGAAGGAAAAGATGTTCTGGCCAGCAACTGCCCACAAAGGGGGATGCTTCTGAGCCTGTGGGAGCTAGGTACCCTGACCACACCGGCCAAAATCACACATTTCTGCTCCCACATGGGCGAGCTGCACGCGGCTCTGCCAACTTCGCAGAATTCTCAAGTGTCTTGGATGAAAACTCCTTCCTACGTGGGTCTGCCAGATGCTGTGAGCAGACTCTGAGCTTGCTTTCCAGAGCCACACTGCCGGAAAGCACTTGCCTCCAAATGCTTAAAGGTTTAGGAACTTGTCCTAATGTGTTAAATTAAAGAAATAAAACCAAACCCAGCCAACTCCAAAGCTTTACCTAATCCCTTCCCTGGCCAGGGAATGTGTCTGCAGTTGCCATCTGTGGTGGCCTCCTGCATGCAGCCAGCTCACATTGTGCTATGACCATAAACAAATTGCCTACACGAAGAAACACTGTGGGTTTATTTGACACCGTCCCACAAATGTCAGGGAAGGAGGTGTGGGGGGGAAGGGACTGCTCCGTTTTGTTTCCTGCAGACAATGGAAGCCAACAGGGACTAGGTGGGACTGCACCTCAGCTGCCCTAGAAGTTATTTTTTTCTCTTCTTTTTCCCTAAAGGCATGGAGTTGTTTTGTCTCTAGCTTAAGTCAAAGAGTACATGCTGCGTTATCTAACCCAGGCTAGTCCTCACAGAACATTTGCCTGTTGCATTATGGCACAACGGAGCATGCAAATAAAACTATCTTGGGCATCCGTGTCTGCACCCTATGACTTTCTTAGTGGATGGCCGTGGAAAGCAGCAGAGCTGCCAGGGCTACCGCAGATGAAAGGTCACCGATGTCTGAGCCACAGCCCGCGGGACTCATTGTTTAAAGGTCGCTTTGGGTCAAATCCAAAGAAATTAGTGGGATCCAGCTGGGCCACCCCTGTTGGGTTGCCCATTGACTGCTGGTGTCAGTAAATACCAGGGACAATCCACTGTCCAGAGCTTTATCACCAAATTTCTCCTGTGCCTCAAAAGGCAAGTGTAGAGCAACACCACAGAGTGCCTTAACATCACCAAACCACAGAAAACTCCACAGAGCTAAAACAGATATATTCTGAGGTCCTCTCCTAACCTCCCCGTTTCTGTGTAAGGAGTTGTGCTCTCTCCTCCACCACCCAGGTGGCCATGGCTCCTGCCCGTGCCAGGAGTAGCAAACACAGACAGGGAAGATTCATTTCTCCACAGCAGCAATTTCCACACACTAACTGGGACCACATTAAAGCCCTCCCCAGCCCTACGCCTTGAAGTATGCTCAGATATCTTTTCTGCCAACAGCTCGCTGACACTCAGATGCTCACAGTGAGGAGGTACTTGATTGCTTTATCCAAAGGAGGTTAGCTCCAGTGGTAAGCAGGTGGGAGAAGGTAGTTCCCAGCACAGGCCTGGGAGAAGATGGATGGCTTAGGTACCCTTCTTAGCTAACATCCAAGACTGTTTTTTTTCTAATTCCCTCATTTAACTTCCTGATTGTCCTATGAGAAAGCTGGGCTCCACCAAGCACAAGCAGAGATGCCTTGGGGACACCCGGCTGCTGCTTCCCTGGTCATGCCTTCATTCCACTGCACCACCATGCTCCTGCCCACCTCCCTCCCACAGCCACCACACCCTCCGGCTTTGAGAAACCCAAAGCAAAACAATGATTCCTGCTCTGATTGCTACTCTCAGGCAACTATCCCTGGCCAGCTGCATGGACAGAGCCCCCCCCGGGGCTGGAGCAGCTCCCAGCAGGCAATCGCACTGCGTCCGAGGGTTTGCCGGCTGCATCCCGTCCTACCCCCTCATTTTCCCAGCTCCTCCAGCTAACTCCAGCTGAGCTACACAGCCCCCTGGGCAGAAGTCCTGGGGCCTCACCCCACGTCCTCCTTCCTGGGAAAGGAGCAGATCCGCCTCTATCATTGATGGATACACCACCCTGTCCTCCTCCATGCCTCCCTCTCCTCCCCATGCACACTCTCTGCTCTCCTTTCCTTTCACATCTCGAAATCCCAGCTACAGCGATTCCCACATCGGATCAACTACCGAACAGCAACATCCGGGGTCTTGAGGATGACCCGCATCTCTCGAGGACAGCCAGGCTGGCTTGCTGGCATGGAGACAAAATCCCACTGAAAGCTGACAGTGTTGAACTGGACCCTGACCAGATTTATAGCTGCCCTATGGAAAAATCTACAGCGCTGGCGATTCCTCCTCACAGACCTGTGGGCTGTACAACCAGCGTAGTGCCCGGCACGTTTGCCCAATGCACAGACAACACCAGGCGCTTCAGCTGGAAGCAAACTTGATATTCTCTGCTAACGGTCAAACTGTTAGCAAGGCTCTGCCGGTGACAGAGATCCTGGCACTGCCCAGGGATCGCCCCACCGCCTCACAGCTGAAGGGTTTCTGACTTTAAGTTCATGCCAGCAGCCCAGGCACAGCTGCTTTACAACTTGGAGATTTCCAAAGCAACAGTTGAGAGCCAACCTCACCTTTGTTTCTTTGGAAAACCTCAATTCTCTTCATTCTTTGAGCCTGGATTGCCATGCAATGGGTGTGGGTTTCCCTGGCAGGGAACACAGCCTGTTGTGCACAGTGCTCCTGCACACGCATGGGAAGCCCAAAGCTCCCACAGCTGCCTGCTCCCTCTGTGCACAAGCTTTGGGAACCACAGGGGTTTCTGGATGCCCAGCCACCCCAGAGCATGGCCACCCTGCCCGGGCCACCAGCCGCACACTGACCCGCAGCATTCGTAAAGACCAAACATGTAGCTGGAAACCCATACAATAGGGAGCCCCTAGTTAAATTTTATATATATATATATATTTTTTTTTTTAAATAAAGCTCACCAGGACTATTTGTCTCACTAAAATACACAGGCAGAGGTCTCTCCATTTACCCATGCCGCACAGTACATAACAAAAGTGAAGGCTGCAGGGGTTCAGATCCCCAGGCTGAAGGTTAGGCAGTGAAAAGCAAAGGATTTGCAAAACACACCTTTGGAGGGGGGAGGTCCGGCAGGCTCTTCTGAGGAGGGGATGAATGCAGTCCTGAGTCTCCATTGGTCAAGGAGTTTCTCTGATCCAGTGCTGCAAGCCAGAAACACAATTATATCGATGACGTGGCATTTCCCAGCAGAGCGCTCACTACCCAGGGCTGTGCAGGAACAGCGAGGTGCTATTTTGGTAGGAAGCAGAGTGGCAATTACAGGCAGCGCTGCAGGGCCACCATGTCATTTCAGGCCATACCCAGGAATGTGGCACAAGGAGACCAAGCAAAAAAGCTGGCCTCTGTTTTTTGGACATGTTTTTCCTTCTGGAGGGAAAACTGTGAAGCCCAGACCCACTGCTGAAACTTTAAAGGGCCCTGAGAAGCAGCATGGGCAGACACTACACGGTATCTGGAAATCCATAGCACTTTAGTCCTTGCTAGCTCTGGTCCCTGCTGCTGTGAGCTGACAGATCGGCGACCGTCCCCACCTCTGCTGCCTTTCCAGAAAACTGGACCTAATACCACCCTGCTTCCCAGAGCAAACTGCAAAGGTTGCTGCCTAGCTGGGCTGCACAATGGTTTATCAAAGCCAGCCAAAACCAGTAATTTAATCACTACTGAAGGAAGAGTTGCTCTTGAAGCAGCCCAGGCCAAACATGTGAAAGGGCATATGGCAGCAGAACTGCTCCAGGCGATCTGCGTCTGCCTCTGGAAAGTCAGATTTTCCAAGCAGCTGAATGCAGAGTGATTCAGTAGCTGGAGGGTACATCGGAGGCTCAGAAAACTTGTGTTCAGTCCCTCTTCCCCCACCACAGAACTCCTGGGTGGCCTCGAACAAGTGCCCAAATCCCACGACCTCCGAGATAGCGCAATGCAGCAACGCTCAGGAACAAGTGGGAGCAAGGCACCAAATGGCTGAAAAATGAAGGCCTTTGAAGGCATTATACTGTGCAGTGGGTCAGTCCCCTTTTACAGAGCGTCTCTTGCCAAATACTTTGGGAGAAATGAGGCTAAGGTATTCAGATCTAGCAAGTCCAGTAAATTAAAAGGGAATTGGGTCCAAAATCTGCAGCGGCTGATGCTCTAACTCCCTTAGTCACCTGCTGATGCTCCAGCCACATTCCTTTGGACACACACAGAAACCACCAAGGCATCGCATAGTGTCCAGCAGCGGTTAGCAGTGCGCTCGGAAGATGCGGGCAGGAACTTTGCTGCATATTTCTGGGCTTTAAAAATAGAAGTTGGAAACCACATTACTTTGTTCATGTCTGGGGCTCGGAAGCCACGATGACAGCTCTGCCCTGCCAGGCTGCAGCCAGCTCCTGGCCTGATGGTGCAAGAGCTCAAAACACATCTCTTGTGAGAAACTGCTCCCTGTGACACAGGTCTCCTGGTCATCAGCACTAGCTAACTTCAGTAAGTCAGGAGGACACAGAGACCCATGGATCAATAGACACCATCTCCAAACAGCTGTTTGTACCTTGCAAGTAGGGCTGCTGGATGTCTTGTAAGGTTCAAACAGAGTAAAGCAGGTGAGCCTATGACACAGACTGATCATGGGGAGATCCCACCTACCAAAATACCCCATGATTATACTGCCAGAGTCATATCTACAGGCTGCTGTTGGAGGTTGGCCTTTTCTGTAAAGGACCAAGGAGATGGCGCTCTCAGGGCAGACACCTTCCATCAACAGCAGCTGCTGAGGCCATTGCTGCTTTTGGAAACACCAGAAACAAGTTTGACATTTCCTAAAGCCCCAGTGGGCTACTACCCAAGAGGGGATTATTTCCACACTCACAGTTGTCCACACAGGGAACTTTTTAGGGGCTTTTTAGCAGAGAGAAATGGACAGGCCAACTCGCATCCTCCTGCGCCAGGCAGAACCTCCCATGCTCGGCTCCATAGAAAAGAAATCATTGCAGCAGCAAAAACCACTGCCAAACCCTTTGCAAGTGGTGGCCATCTGTTCTCGACTCTCCGGCAAACCTAGCAATCATCCCACTGAACCTCACTGTGCCAGGAAAATGCTGTTTGGTTTCTGTACCAGCAGTTCCTCCTCCTCCCACCAATCTTGGAGCATGAGATGGAGACCACAGCCTCAGTCCTCACCCTGCTGGATACTTGCCCACCTCCACAGACACATGCCCATGTACTCCAGCTGAGGAGCAGAGGAGGATGTGATGGAGCTTTGATTTTCAGGCTTTGTGCAGGAAGAACCATCCCTTTAACCTTCATCCTGGCAAGACTCCTGGGAGATGTTATGAGGTTTTCTGTTCTGAGGTTGCACAGAGCAGCTATCACTGTGCCCAGCATGTGGGGACAAGCACCTAATGCATGCTTTCTGCATGGAGAGTCCACGCAGCATGTGCTGTACATACCCCTTCATTCTCCTGCTACACACATCAGCACCACTAATCACAGACTGTTTCCTTATTGGGGTGGGAGGGAAGGAGTATTTTTTCCTAGACAAGTGTTAACGCTTTGCAGGTGTCTTCTGATAAAGATGTCTCTCTAAAACCTGGAATTTGGAGAGAATTTAGAAGAGGGAAGGAAGAAAAACCAGGCAAAAAGCTTGCTAAAATTCACATCTGTACAAACTGTTATTTATCTGTGCTCTCTGGTCTTTGTAAAAGTGAATCTCTCCTGGTATTTGGGCTAAGAGGACCACAGTGTGCACCACCAGGAGCCCTACACTGTGCATCAGCTCCACCTCCCAGCCACCTGCACCTCGATCCCTCTGTGCTGACTTCCAGAAGGAGATGCCTTCAGCTCACTGAAGAGCCCCATAGACTTGCATGGCAGAGACTTGCTGTGTTTCTCAAGTAACTGAGATCAAGTAAATGGTAGTGCCTTCATCACTCACTGCAGTGAATTCAATTACTGTGCGATAAAAAGGCATCTCAAAAGCAGCACACTGTTCAGCTTAAATCCTTACTGGTGGAATTGGAAGTAGATACCGTGAGCAGTGAAATACGGTTTTTGCAGGAACAGCATGTTTTAAGGTTCGGAGGGGAGACTTTCGGAGCAGATGTATTATCACTTTGGAAAGCATTTCACCCTGCACTGCTAGAGCATACTCGAGCACAGCTACAGTGATGAAGAAACCCTGCAGGGCATGAGAGGTCCCATTGACCTCAGTCACAAAAGTGTGGTCACCACATCCCACCAAAGGATTTTGGTGAAATAAAGTGCACAGAGCAGCAGTGGATAAAAGGGGTAAAGGGAGCTGCATAATCACTGGGGGATCTATATCACATCCCCTAGCTCCAGTGGGTACTAGGGCCGCCTCCATCTGCTAAATCTGAACCTGCAGGTCCCAATTCTGACCTCTTCAGGCAGGCACAGACCTCTCTGTGCCGTTACAGAGGCAGGATCAGGGCTGTACACCCAGCTGCAGCTATGGCTAAGATCCCATACATGTGTCTCACTGACTTCAGCATTTCCAAATAACTCAGAAGTTTTACTTGGAATAGGAAGGTTGTTGAAAACAGAGAAAGAGAGAAGCGCCAGGTCCCACAGGGAGCGACTGAGTGGGTAGGCTCATGGCCTTGATAGGGAGAAGTCTGAAATAAAAGAACCAACTCTAAAAATAAATTGTCTGAAATTTGCCCCCTTGTTTCAGCATGGTGGATCAGTGCAAGTCTTGTTTTATCCACCCAAATAAAGAGATGTTTCTGTCACTGCTCAGCCGCCCGGAGCTACTGGGAGGCTGTGCAATCCTGTTATGGAGCATTACAGCATCACCCAGAGGGCCCTGTCCAGAGATCACATCAGGGCTGCACGCGTAATCTGGGAGGACATCCTGTCTTCAGGGATATTTGAAGTTAACCTAAATTCAGCTGCAGGTAGTTTAAAAAAAACAAAACAAAACCAAAACAAACAAAAAAACCCCCACCACAAAACAATAAAACCAAAACAAACAACTCTGGAAACAGAGCTATCCCAACTATTGCAGCATGTCAACAGCAGGCTGCACTGATGCGTCCTCTGTTTCATCTGCTTGGATCGGAAACTGTAGGGTAGGGTCAGCCTCTGACTATGTGTGCATTAAGACGTGTGTCAGTAATAATCTCACTCTATGCAATTATCAAAAACAGCCCTTGTGATGAACTTCAAAGAGCAAGAACGTTTATAGAGAATTATGTTCTTTCCCATATTACAAATTCAAAATCTGGGAAATCTAAATTGGAAATGAATATTTTATCTAGGTTTAATTTCTTGGCTTGTACACCGCAAACTCTTGCATCCCCCGGGAGATGAAGGTGCTCTGCCCGCGCAGAAGGCGAGGGTGCAGGTTGTGCCTGGGAACTTGCCTCACAAGGTTGTGACAACACAGACTCTCTGGGCTAGTACAGAGAGCAACACGCTAAAGAAGACACATGCTTTCAAGGTCTCAAAGAGGTGAAGTGACATGTTTCGTGGCCAAAGGAAACATGAGGGCTTCCTTAAATATTTGAGGCACTGGAGCTGCAAGCCTTAGAAGGCAACGTTTTTATCCCAAAATAACGCCCTCCAAAGTGCTACTTCCAGGAATAACCTCACAGTGTTGGCAAGGACTATGATTTCCAAAGGAATGTAATGAAAATGGCAGTCCTTCCACACCATCAACTGCCTCGTCCCTCAGAGCTGCCAGAAGGGCCTCCACCGGTCCCAGTAAAGCAAGGACCTAACCACATGTGCCTTCGCTGCCCTGTTAGATATGAGGCAACCATTAAACTTCAGCTCCCTACCTTTGTCTTGTTTCTCCTGGTCACCCTGCTGTTTATGGATGGTCACTTTGTTCATATAAATATATTCCTCATCGCCACCTGCAACCAGAGGGAAAAGTGAACTCTTTACCCACCTGCTGCTTTCACATTGCTAAGGTTTTCCACAAAGACAGATGTAAAAAGTGTCTCTGCTGAGTACATTTTGGGGAGAGTGTATTGGTTGAGGCAATGTGCAGAAAAACACCCAAGCAATAATAAAAAGTAGAAAAATTAAATGCTTTATAGTCAGGAAATTCCATAAGTTAAAATTTCTACTTAAACATTAACTTGGCCAAACAGTACATCCTGTGTATCTTACAAAGTGGATTAAATAAACTTAAGGTTTAATAAGGAAAACAGAAAGTATCAGGAATCTTGGGAATCCTTTGTTTGTAAAGCTGGACACATAACTGTAGTAATTTTACATAAACAATTAGAGGTCACTGCAAAAATAATCCTCGTTTCAGTTTCTCCTTCTAATTTTCATGTCTCCCCTTCCCACCAGCCTCCAAGAAAATGTTGCTTCAAGACCCCATAGCAGTTCCCACGAGAGCCCACTGCCCCATCCTTGTTTTCCTTGCCCATACCACTGGACTTGGTGTAGACCCGCAGAAGGTCGGAGAGGAAGCTTTTCTTCACAACGGCAGTGCTGCTCAAGTTCTCCTTGTCCAGTATCCTCAGAAAATCTTCAAGTTCTGTGAGCAGCTGCTCGAGAGCTACAACAGCAACAGAGACAACTGTTGGCAAAGCAGTTGGGGGCATTTCAAAAGAGGACATACATTAATTCTGAATTTTCCAAGATCCTCTGCGTTTTTCTGCCCAGGAATAATTCATGTTTAGTTTTCCAGCTTGAACCCTCCCTCTAGTTTTGAAAAGAAAGTGGGTCCCAAAACCAAAAAGGCTCCAACTTCCCTTAGTCTGTTCGTAACACCAGTAAAATCCCATGTAAATATCTATTCTTCTTCCTATAGGACTTTTTGCTCAAGGGGGGAAAAGCCTAGAGGGATTTTAAGCATTAGGGCTGAGATTACACAAAAGCAGCTAGCAAGATTGTGACACTTGAATCTTGAGTCCCATCAAACATCATTCAAACCTCATGTGGATTTGGATCTACCAAAGACTGTTTTCTGGTTCCTCTTTCCAAGCCTCCTCCTTATTTCTCTATCTGTAATGATTTGAAAACATTTATGTGCGTGTCCCCACAAAAGACAAAAAAAAAAAAAGGCACATACATAATTCAGTAACTTCTCAAGCCGTGTTGCTTGGGTGGTGACTACAGAGTTCATTGTACCACGTGGAACTGAAGACCCAAGGTTGAGCAGCATCTCAGAGACCCTCAGGAAAGCTTGCCGTTACAAAGACATCCCTGCATACCCACAACAAGCAACTCAGACAAACTGCTCCCCAGCACTGACGGCTCAGCCAGGCTAATAGGTTTGTTTTCCTTCTGAGGAGGTGCTACTCAGCTCTGCCACTGACAAATCACTTCTCTGACAGGGCTCACGCTGAAGCAACAGGCGTTTAATTGCTTGCTTTTGTTCACGCCAAAGTTTATCGTGGGCTAATTAGCAGCAGTGGCAGGAGCCTGTTCCAGGGAGGAAATAACAGAGTATTATGTGGAGAGAGGAAGCACCGCGCAAGAATGACGGCGTACGGGAAAAGCACGGAAAACCCAGCTGGGGCCGTTCCTCCCCTTTGGCAGCTCCCCCGCTAACCCACTCCATCGGTCCCCGAAGCTAAGGAGCAGTGGGGAAGATGGGCAGCGAAGCTTGGGTTTGCCACCACCAGGCTGCAAACTAGGCTGTGACTCCTCAGCACACCACTAAGGAACGTGACATATGGATAATTTAACTGCTCCATTCCCTTTACTTACAGCATTTCCATGCTGTGTTCCCATGGTACCCCCGTGAGTCACAGCACACACCAATAAACTAGAAAAGTGTTAATATTTTGGTTTCATAGGTCAAAACATCTGAAGCATATCTAGTTTAAGTGCTACCACCTCCAAGGTCACAAAGAACATTTGTGTAAGACCAGGAGAGCACCATCACCTTCTTACTCCCCCATCTTTAGCCACCAGGTGACCCTTACTCGGGTGAATACATGTTAGAATATTACAGTGTAATTTATGCTTTATTTATTAAAGGTTTATGGTGCTAGCCATTAATTGAAAAACATGCTACTGCTCTCAAACTGTATTAATCTTCACTAGCTTGACTGTAAAACAATCTAATGACTCCAGATCAATCAACAACGGCTCCAGAGGAGACTACCAACTGGTAGTTCTTCACACGTCGTTTTATACCCTCTACACCCAATTAATTCTCTTCTGGTCTGATTTAGGACCAGTAGGGAATGGAAAATGCCTGTATCATGCTGTGTTAGCTTGAGTGTTTTTGCTAGCTGCTGTTTTGCCCAGCTATAAGCCACTGCAATCCAGAGAAAGCAAGAATCACTCCAAGAAACAACAGCATTTTTCATAAACTGTAAGGAAACAGGTAGTGTTTCGTGACAACAATATTAGATGTCACTGATATAAACAATGAACTGTGAGCATTTGGTGTCAAACACACTCATAACCAGCTTCTCTCAAACTTCAAGGACCCTGCTTCTTCTAAGTTTAAGGAAACTCCACCAGCATAAATCATAGCCTTGTTATACTTGCTCATCTGCTTCAGTGGCCCACTTCAGAAAATTTAAATTGAGGTCAGTTCCTTCTGGTCAGGCCTAAATATATGTTCCTCTTAGTTCATCCTAGTGAACAGGACAGTTATGTGTCAGGGATGGTATCAGAAGAAACACAGCACAAAAGATACCTAATTTGAAGCTTCCAAAGCGGGTCAGCTCCCAACAGCTGCCCGCAAGGAAGTCACGACACCACGTTTGCAGGGAAGGGGGGTATAATTCCCATTCCTTCCTCCACCCCCAAGACTGCAGAAAATGACTTTATTATTCTCCCAGGCATCCACAGCTAGCACACAGACAGGGCCCAGCTCTTATGAATAGCGCAGCCCATACAGTAGGTTACATTTTCCAGCCCACCAAAGCTGAATTCAGGCTTCTAGTGACTCAAAGCAACTCATTTAGGACACGATCCTGGGGCCACAGAGGTCAGTGGAAAGACTCTGTCAGACTTCAATGGGTTCGGACTTCAGGGACTCAACAGAGATTCATTTTGCTCTTCTTCAGCAAGAAGCAGCATATAAACCATCTGCTTCCACGCAAGCATGTCTTTGATCTCAGCTGGACATTCCCAATCCAAACCTGATACCTGCAAAAATAAACTGCCATTAAAACAAATGTGACCATTCATTCTCTCGTATCAGAAGAACAAGCTAATACTTATTGGAGTGATGAACGTGAGACGTAAGAAGAGTTAATATGATGGGGGTCTATAAGATCCTCTGTGCAAGCAAGAATCGCAGCAGGTCCCAACAGGTGAATAGGACTAAAAATAGTTGAGAGCCCATGCACGTCAAACTACCTCAGGATTTTGAATGCTGGAAACTACTGCTTGATCTCAGCTAAAGACCTATCACGCTGTAGTGATGTATTGAACATGCTTATGGCAAAACCAGGTTGGTGGTTACACAAAGCAGCCTGAAACAAATGGTTCTCCCTCCAAGCTACATTGTTTTGCTGTCCTTATCTTAGCAGTTTAGAAATGAGAGCATGTAAAGAGATGATTCCTGTAGCTAGGCCTTCTCTGCAGGGCAATAGTTACAGGTGCAAGAAACTCATTTGCAAAATCAAATGGCTGTGAGCAGCAGGATGAGAGATCAGAAGTAGATAGAAGCCCAAGTCATGAGGCAGTGCAATTTTCAGAGATGCTTTTGAGAAACATCCTTCCACAGCTACATTACTCTTCGACTCTTGTAGCACTTCTTCGTGAAACCCCCAATTATAATGTGACTCAAGTAATCTTTCTGGCACCATCTCAAATAAATACTTGCATAGCACTTACAAAAATTCAGTCTACTTTATGGAAAACAGGAGATTACCTCTAAGGTTAAGATTGGCCCAGAAGAATTAAAAGACTTAGCCAAGGTCACTGAATACCTCTACTGAATCCAGCCATCCCAAGCCCCAGGATATGACCTACTCCATCTCCTTACAAAGCATGGCCACACATATGGGGTACCATTAGATACTGCAGCACAGCTCAGCTCAGATCATGCTGCTCTTCTCCATGGCCACAGGTATCAGTCACTGGATAAAACCATAAGGATTTTGCAACATGTGATGGAGAGTGGTGTAGGATCATAGTCAATAGAAAACTTGGCTGCTTTGCATCTACAATGAGTGGATGATCATCACTGAAAGGACTGAACTTCAAAGTGTATAGAAATATCATATCTTTACTGATGTAGTAAGGACTTACAGGGGGTTACAACCAGAACTACCAGCTCCTCTTGCATGCACTTAAGTGGAGGATGAGAGATGTTCTCCCTCCTTTTACTCCAAGACAATGCAACCCTTTTTACAGAAACTCCTGGGCAGCCCTCTGACCAGAGTAGACTCTCTCTGAAGGCTGAAACTTGGTTGCAGCAATAAGCAAAGCATCGCTTGAAACACAACTAATCTGTTTCAACGGCAATTCAGTGGCAGTAGGACAGCACTGAAAAGGGCTTCTTTTGGCAGGAGTCTATGGCCTTTCTTTGCAGTCTCTTGCATTGCAGCAGTGTCTATCCTAGTTCATGTGAAGCTAGAGCCAAAAATGCAGCAGCTTGCAAAGCCCCCATTGAGGAAGCACATTCCTTGCGAAAGAGCTGCCAATTTTGCCTGACACCAAGGTCACTGAAAGGTAAATGACCATTAAACTAGATTATAAAAGCCATTCCTACCAATAACCACTGATCTTTGTCATTTTGCTACAATAACAACCTATGTCTACATCTAATTACTTCATGTCTTGGCCTCATGAGGAAATGAAAAGGCAGGCTCAGAAGGAACTTTCATTCAAGTGTTTTAGTAACCACTGGGCAGGATTACATTAGACCATTTAATCTAAATTCAATTATTTATTTTATCAAGGTAGAGGGGCCCCAGCCACCGGACAAAGAACTGTAATAAAATACATACTAAAAGACAAACTCTTTCCTCTACTGAGATGAGAGGTGAAAGATAAGGAGTATCATTTGCTAACAGGAAACTAAGGCATAGAGAGATTAAGCAATTTGTCCAAGGATACGGGCGTATTCTCCAGCAGATCAGGAATACAACCCAGTTTTCCTGTGTCCCAGCCTGCAGCTCTCACTCCCAAACCACCCTTCCTTGGATCCAAAAGCAGGAGTTGGGTTTGGTACTTGTGGCTCGGCTAAGCTGCTGGCAAACAGCACAGATTCGGGCACCTGGTAAACACCTGCAGCCTGTGGCGTGCCAAGTTTTTTTGCTTCAAAAGCCTTGGGAAGACCAGAGATAGTGAAACTGATAACAGCGCTCTGATTCATGCAAGTGTCAGAGGCCACAGGAGCGGAGGGGTTCCCGAGGGGCACCTCAAGGCACCCTTGCATCTCCAGCCTCCCCCATGCAGGACATCCCATGGCAGCCTTTCGGCCCCCATTTCCCGCTGACCAGCCCCGGCCAGCAGCACTGGGATTCCCTAGAGGCTGCTTTGGCAGAAGGCAGTTTCTTTCTTGCCCTGGTTTCTTTTTTCCTTTGCTGCATAAAATCAATAGGGCAGCTGACGAGCGTGCAGAGAGGACAGGCGGGTACAGAGACAGCATTCAGGCTGCTGAATAGCGAGTGCTGTCAGCAGAGCA